AAGGAGTGAACAATACACAGTTGTCCCTTGGTATCCACGGGGATTGGTTCTAGGACCTCGTCAGATAGCAAAAGCCACGGATGCTCAAGTCACTTATATAAAATGGCAGTGTTGGCATATGACCTATGCGTGTCATCCCATATACTTTAAATCATCTCTAAATTCCTAACATGGGTTGAATATCCCCTATCCAAAATGCTTGGGACCAGAGCACGTTGGATTGTGGATTTTCTCAGATTTTTGAATATTTACATTACACTTACCAGCTGAGCACCCCAAATCTAAAAATCCAAAATCTGAAATGCTATGAGCACTTCCTTTGAGTGTCACATAGGTGTGCAAAAGTTTCAGATTTTAGAGGACTTCTGGATTTCAGGTTTTGGATTTGGGATATTCAACCTGTAATATTTAATACAATGTAAATGCTATGTAAATAGTTGTTAAACTATATTGTTTTCTATTTTATTTCTACTATTTTTATTGTTGTATTTTTTTTAATTTTTTTCCAAATATTTTCAATCTATTGTGGTTGAATCCGAGGATGCAGAACCCATGGATACGGAGGGTCAACTGCATTTCTAAGGAGAAAAATAAATATATTTTCATCTAGTCACTCAACAGGAAGAGCTTCATTCCATAATTACCTTACAATAAGAACATGGACATCTCATTTTGCTAAGACATGTGACAATATTCTTTCATCATTTATGAGGTTTGTACACCAATAGTTACCTGGTACAGTTTGTAAGTTAATGAAAGCTAAAGGCAGGTATGTATACAAAGGTGACTGGAAGGAAATAGATAGTATTGAGACAGGATAAGAATTCACAAATATTTTCTAATTATGGGCCATCCTCTCTCCCAGAAAATTATGAGCCACCAAAGTCTTCAAAAGTATTGCTTTTCTTTTTTTTTAAAGAGATAGGGTCCTCACTCTGTTGCACAGGTGGCCAGGGTGCAGTGGTATAATCACAGCTCACTGTGGCCTCGAACTCTGAGCTCAAGCAATCCTTCCGCCTCAGCCTTCCAAGTGGTGTGTTTTGATGATATAAGTGTGAGAACAAGAGATAATGGTAAGCTAGAACCTATTTGTATTTGATGCCTGGAATCAGCATTTACAAAATGGATAGTTTGAAGGCTCAGAGGAGCAGTTAGGCACAGTCAAAGGACACTGCCTGCCTCTGGGCATAGTAGACGAGGGGGCGTGTTGTGTTTGCCGCGCAGGTGGGACGGGAACCGGTGGGCCTTGGCTTTAGTGTTTTCCTTGGGTTTCTGGTCTTTGCGTAGGCTTCCTTGGGGGAACTCTATTTCGGGGACGCTTGTAACAACACTTTAAATTGGGAAGAAAGTAAAGTAGGTTGCCTTTCTGATCCTACCTATCCAGAGGCAACTTTTAAGAAGTTTCTCCAGGAATGGGGGCTCCCATATCTAGTAGAAGCTCTATGCGTGGTCTTTTGAGATCTATGTGGCTTCATTAATTCATTCGGTCTGCAAAGTTTGTTGAACCCTACTTGTGCTAGTTACTGAATGTGCGAGGAAAGACATATCTTGCCTTTAAGAAGTGTACGACCAGGTTGGGTAGCAGATAAATAAATAATGCACACTATTTTAGGTGTTAAAGAAGCAAACGCCAGGTTTGGGGGGTAGGGGGAAGAAGTGGTTAGGACTGTGGTGCTTCAACCTCGTCCAGCAAAGGCTTCAGGAAGAAGGTTGTATATGGTGAAAGAAATTGTTTTGTTTCGGGTTAAATTATGAGAGGGGTTAATACAGTTCTCTTTCTTCTGTTAATGCACCTAAAAATCCCCCAAATTAAGAATCTTTCAGTAAAAATATAACTGAAAGAGATTATGTGTTTTGCTTTATTTATCCATTTAGCTCATATTGAAAATTACCAGGGGGAAGTAGGAGATAAGTTGTGTAAGAGATAGTGCAGATGCCAGTACTATTAAGGAGCAGAAATCTGGCAGGGTGAAACAAAACCATACAGTAAATTCTCAAAAGTGTACAAAGTACCGATGCAGTTCAAGCATAATTTGTGTTATTTAGAAGTAAGCAGGGAAGGAATTATAGGTGAAGGAAAACAAAAATAAATAAATAAAAATAAAAGGACACTGCCCATTTCAGGTACATACAGATCTTCAAAACCAGGAAAATATTAAAGATCTGAGAACCACACCCTCAAGGGAATAATCAAAGGCAGACTCCGCAGACATTTCATCCCACAGGTTCTCATTCCATAATACTCTATTTCATATCTGAAAGGTAAAGCAGCACCTCACACCCATTAGGTTGGCTACTATCAAAACAAGCACAGAAAATAACAAGTGTTGGAAGGATGTGGTGAAACAAGAATCACAGTGCACTATTGGTGGAAATGTAAAATGGTGTAGCCAATACGGGAAAAAAAGGATGGCAGTTTCTTCAAAAATTAAACAAGGCCGGGCGCTGTGGCTCACGCCTGTAATCCTAGCTCTTGGGAGGCCGAGGCGGGCGGATTGCTCAAGGTCAGGAGTTCAAAACCAGCCTGACACACCCCCACCCCCCCCCCCCACATAAACCAATTAACAACGACCCCCCCCCCCCACGTCTAAAAGCAATTAATATTCAAACTACATGTGGAAGTTTCTTAGTAAGATTTTTCTCTTTTGAGAAGCACCATAGTCTACTCTGCAGAAAAGGTCAAATCGGGCACACGGCCTGCTCTAGCGCGAAGCCGTTGTACCTTTGCTCTTTAACTGGGTGACTCATGTTTCAAAAATGCAACTCGCAGCACCAGCTCATGAAGCGTTCCTCTAAAGGAAGAACAACTTCTTTCAAGCATTTGCTTTAATGTTTGCATATCCCTTTAGAAAATAAACATAATTCAGAATGCTGAGTATATCCAAACATTTCATAAAATGGAAGTTTAGGCTTTCTATCACAATGCGTGTAATTTATCTGAACAAAGGCGCATACAACGGCCTCGCACTGCACTGCTATGGAGATGTGGTGGGAGGTTGTTACTGCCTCTGTCCAATTGGTCTTTCATGTGTTCAGCGAGCGTGAGCACGTACACATTCGATACACTGAAGCACTGTTCAATGCACTTTTTCTCAGTAGGAGTGCGCCATACGGCATCTTAAGGGCAGAGAGCAGTTTCTCATTGAACGTCCTCAGTTCAGCCCAGGCTGGGTGCCACACCTACTGAGAAGGCTAAGCTTTTGGTTGTGCTGACTAATCAATCGCACAAAACACACGCTAATTCTGGGGAAGGGAACGAACATAAAGGATTCCAGCAACACTGAGAGCCCCGCAAGGTGGAAACCGCTGACCATTGTGGGGTCATCACGCCTGCTAACGTGCTTGTCCGCAACAGCAACTCGGCGGCCCGGTCGGGGGGGAGGAGTCGCCTCAGATGAGCCTCACACAGCCTGGGGGATCAGGGCAGAAGTGAGGCGACAGGTACAAAGCAAAACAGCTGGGCTGTGAACCAGCCCAGAAGCTACAGACGGGACTGCGGCTCAAAAGCAGCTGAGGAAGCCAGGGATGACCAAGTACGGAAGGAGCTGAAAGGACCAAAGGACTGAGGGCTTTGGCGGAGGAAGACCGTAAGATTTTGTTCTTTCTTTTGTTTTGTCTAACCTGATGGAATATCTTTTTCTGATACTGTAAATTTCAAAAGGAGGCAGGCCCAGGTGCGGGGCTCAACAGACTGTAATCCTAGCACTTCTGGGGAGGGTCGAGGCAGGCAGATCCGTCTGAGCTCAGCGGGAGTTCCAGCCCAGCCTGAGGCTAATGAGTGAGACCCTGTCGTTCTACCAAAAACAAAAAAACAAAATATTCCTGGAGCTGGTGGCGAGCCTGTATACCAGCTACGTCGCGGAGCGCTGAGGCAGAAGACGCTTGACCAGGAGTTGAGGTTGCTGTGGAGCTAGCGCTGATGCCACGCACTCGTACCGCTGGGCCAACAGAGTAAGACCTCTTTCTCAAAAAAAAAAAAAAGGAGTGACAATTCCTAGTGATAACAAAGCCCGACATGGCTAGACACCCATCTATGCCAAGTGCTCAGGCAAACAGAGAGTACAAGTGGAGTACATAAAGATGCAGCAGCTCTTCACCTGGGGGTTCCGAATCCCAGCTCCTGCACTTGCTGTCTGACTTTGAGCAAATCTGCTCAACCTCTCTGAGCTCCAATGCTCATTTCAAAAGTAAAGCTGAAGGCCGGCGTCGCGCGTGGCTCACGCCTGTAATCCTAGTAACTCGGGAGGCCGAGGCGGGGCGGATGCCCAGTCAAGTTCAAAACCAGCCTGAGCGAGACCCGTCTCTACATAAAAAGAAAATAAAGAAATTATGGCCAACTAATATATATTATACTAATATATATATAAATCAGCCGGGCATGGTGGCTTGTGCCTGTAGTCCCGCAGCTACCGGAGCTGAGGCCAGGAGGATCCGCTTGAGCCAGGAGTTTGAGGTGCTGTGAGCCTAAGGCTGACGCCACCGCACACTCACCTACTACCTAGCAAGAAACGAGACTCTGTCTC